ACTTGCTGCCAAAACCTTGGGCTTTGTAAGGAAATCTGTCAGACATGATGTGTAACCCAGAACACACACACACACACACACACACATCTGACTGAATACACCACCACTCTGGCCTCATACTGTTCTGCTCTCCACCTGCTGGTGTAAACAAACACATAGCTGCTAATCAAGCTCACATCGCCTCCAGCGCCCAACACACACACACAAACACATACACACACCCACTGAGGGAGCAGTCATCAGTCATCACGCCAGACATTCTGGAAGCGTTTTACACCCCATGAAGTTGTGGAAATGCTCAGACAGATGGGGTTTCTCTGAACAAGGGATCTGATGAGGTCAAATAAGAAATACAAATACAAAGAGACGTCCTGATCCATGCTGAGCCAAAAGAGGAAATCTCACCATGGAGCTTCATTTTTTTCCATCTAAAGGTACGTCTGAACAGTAACTCTGCTTCAAAACACATCACTGATTACTTTTTTAGAACATCACCACACCAAGTATTTTCTTCCTTACATAAGGTAGTCCTGATACATAATGTTATATGCTAATAACTAGGGGTGCATTGATACTGGTGCTGGTATCCGTATTAGTCCAAAATTTGTGCTCCAGTACCGACATCTGATACTCGGTGATACGATCTGCCATAAGTTTAGTGTACGTCGTCACACTAATGACCAGATGACACAAAATGACAGCAATCTGGATGTATTTCACACAAAGCAAGGCAGACTGCTAACTTTTCCAAGATTCCTGCAGGATCATGATGGTGGCTGTGAATGTAGGTTACCTCACGCTTCCTGGTAGAGGTTGATGGTAGCAGTGACGTGCTATTTCAAGTCTAGAGGGTTGTTGATTGTTACCCCAAAGTTTAAGGCAATTAGCAGTAGCATTGTGCTCAAATACATGTAAGGAATGGTTTCAAAGATATGTAAGGTAAGGTAAAATGGGTGCAGTGGCTAAGCGGAAAGAGAGGATGAGATAATTGTATTATCGTAATAGCATCAGTTGACAAAGAGGTGATGTACAGACTATAAAAAAGGGGGAAGCATAGGTCCTTGATTTATACCAGTTGTCACCTTTCATTGTCCTTGTCTATCCTTTTCTCCACTGAACCATCTGAACAGGATTAGTTTCACTGGGTGAAGTCTGTAATAACATTTTTATTCATCTTCGCTGAGATAAAACTCTCGAGATTAGCATTATCTCTTTAGTTTGCCAAAATGGCCTCAGCATTACACACACCTCATTAAACACACAATAAAGTATGCATATACATTAGGCAGATACAAAATTAAAGCAACATACTGAGTACCACACACACACATAAGAACAAAGTGGAATGGGGTTGTAAATTTTTTTTTGTTTTAAAACTTTGACAGTAACCCAAAGTATTCAATACATTGTCAGTGATTGTGTTTAAAGACATTAAGAGGAATAAAAGAACATAGCTTCACAATTTTCTGCAGATTGTAGGTACAACAACCATGAAAGCTTCTGCCTAAATTCAGTGGTGGTTCTGGGCACTGAGGCAGTTCTGCAAGCGCAGGGTATATCTTACATTGTCAGGGAAGTTAAAATAGGCCGATAAGTATGCAGGAGGAGTGCAAATTCTAGCTTTATAGATAGAATTGTATCAGGGGATTCACTGAAGAACTGTTAGAGGGGTACACTTTAGTGTATAGTGTGCAGTGATGACTTTCCATATTTTTTTCCTGCACACATGGTCATATGCTGCTTGAATATAGAGAATATTGTTGCATCATTTCCAGTCATTTCCAGTCATTTCCTTTCTCTGCCTCTCACACCTGTCCCATCTCATGTTTTCTTAGACTTTATCTCTGTCTTACTTTTATTCATACTTCCTTTGTATATACACTTGTGTATGAGCTGCAATTAGGAATTTACATACACACAACTGTCCCACAAACTGTTTTTCAAACACATTCGAGGCAGCTGTTTGTTTGTACCATAGCTGAGCACCAAGCAGCTGTGTGTGTGTGTGTGTTTGTGTGCTCAAAGCAAGATAAATTGGGATGAATGTTAGCTCATAGATGAACGTCTGGCACTCAGGTGCTTAGTGTTCACTTAAGGCCAGCAGCATGATGACTGATCTCTCCTCCCCAGTGGGCTCATTAACACTGGAATAGAACAGATACAACACACACACACACACACACACACACACACAACTGCTCAGGGCTTAGTACACACATCTGGACAGAGGAGATAGAACAGAACAGAGGGACAGAGGAAAAGTAAAGAGAGAGAATAAAGAAAGGGGAAGATAAATCTGTGGTATATAGAGTTCACTGAAAAAAAAAACATGATCCAAACATTGGGTCACTGTTTCCACTGCCACGTGAGCTGTACTGTAATTGAGTATCTGTGTTAAATTTGGTTCTCCTTCTCACCAGGTATTGTGGAAAATAGGGAAGAACACTGATTGGTCAATCACAATCCTCACAGAATCATCACGTGTTGTTAGAAAGTCCCTATGAAACAGCTTGGAGCCATGAATTGATTCCATATGTTCACGTATGTCCTTCAGAAACAGGAAGTTAGAGCGTGTTGAAGTGCTTGAACTCCAAATAAAGATCAGCTGTTTCTGTAGGATTTTCTAAACATCATCTTAGTTTCATCCGACTGCTATAGCCATGGTCCACAAAGATCTTACAGCGCATGTACGGTATCTCATTGTTGAAAGGTAACAATATGGAGAGGGGTACAATAGAAATTCCAGAACAATAGGTGACCATGGAACATTGTGAATGCCATCATCAACAAGTGGAGAAAATGGGGCACCACTGTGACATCACCAAGAACAGGACATCCCTCCAAATTTGACAAAAAGGTAAAACTTTTTATGCATAAAAGAAATTCTTGGCACAAAACCAAGACAACTTATAGCCCAAAGGACGCCATAATCACAGTGAAGCATGGTGGTGGCAGCATCATGCTATGCTGCTGCTTCTCTTCAGCTGGGACTTGGGCTTTAGTCAAGATAGAGGGAATCATGGATAGCTCCAAATATCAATCTATTCTGGCACAAAACCTGCAGGTCTCTGTTAGACAGCTGAAGATGAAGAAAAATTTCAGCTTCCAGCATGATAACTACCCAAAGCATAAATCCAAGTCGACAAAGGAATGGCTTCAGAAGAATGGCCCAGTCACAGCCCAGATCCTATCAAAAACCTGTGGAATGACATTTCTGTGCTGCACACAGGAGATCCCCTCGCTATTTGATAGATGTGGAGCAGTTTTGCATGGAAGAGTGGAATAAAATTGCCAAATCAGGATGTGCTAAGTTGGTAGACTCTTACTCTTAGTGCTGTATTACAAGCAAAAGGTGCTTTAACAAAGTATTAGTTAAAGGGATGTGCATACCTATGCAACCAGGTTATTGTATGTTTTTACTTTTTTCCTGTAAAAAGTTTTGGGAAACAGATTCAGTTCACCAGTGTTCAGATAGTTCTGGGTTTGGATTATGAGCCACACTGTCAGGTGGAAAAGTGCTCAGAGAGAGAAAGGGAAACAGGCTTCTCTCTCTCTCTCTCTTTTTCTCTCTCTCTCAAAGTCAAGGTGTTGTTTTATTGCCATGACAAATATTAACATTTGTATTGCCAAAGCTTGGATACAGACTTTGGGAACAAATTAGAAAATAACTACAGAAATAAATAAATAGAAACCAACATGTACATACATTCAACAACACAGTCAAAAAGAAACACTAGTTATGAGACTCATAGAACCCTGAAGAAAAAAAGATAAATAAATAAAATAAAATGAAAATTAAAAATTCTCTCTCTCTCTATATATATATATAAACACACAGTAGGTGGGGCAGTTTGTTGGGCCTCGGGGTCTGAGAATTGGAGAGGATTTTGCTCTCTCTCTCTCTCTCTCTCTCTCTCTCTCTGGGTCTGCCACTATCTCTGTATCTCTCTGACTCTCACAATCTTTCTCTGTCTCTGTCTCTTTCTTTCTGTCTCTCTCTCTCATGCAGAATTAAACACACTTTTCCTAAAGTCTATGAGTTCCTGTTCACTGGGTAAATGTGCTGGTTGGTGGAACAGTGGTGAAGGTCAGGAGAGTGTGATGAGTCCACACTGCACACCACGCACTCGCTGTTCTTATTTATGTGTTGTATAATAGAGTAGAAACAGATTGTTAAAAGCTGACAAGTGCAATTTAGTATACACACACACAGTGTGTATCCTGTTCTGAAATGTCATTATAGAGATGCATCTCTCTTTCTCTCTCACACGTTCTCTTGGGTGTAATTAAGATGTTCGACATGCATACATGCACACACACCCACACCCACACACACCCACACACACACACACACACACACAGCAAAAGGCCACAAGATAAGTGAACAACGTATGGTCTAAGTTCCATTACTTATTAATCATGTGAGTCAGAGTAAATCAGCTGTGAGTCCTTCATTTAAAACCCCATAAATTTCACTTGCACACTAACAACACAGTCAGTCTTCAGATATGTTCAACATTAGATGTGTTTAGACTGCACTGATCTATAGTATTTTTATTAATCATTATAGAGTTGTATATTCTGTAATGCTTAATAAAATATTCACCATTAATAAATATATTGTTCTTCATTTTATATTTTTCATGCTTAATGATCCTACATAAGCACTCGCCTTGTATCTAAACACATTCTTGGCTAATTTAGTGCATCAGACTGAGTCTTGTATCATATTGCTGTTGAATTCTGAATGGTCAGAAAGTGTTGATTAGTTTTCTACAAAAGCAGCTCTGATGATAGTGCAGCTGCAACTCACAGGTTCATATTAATGTGCTCTAACTAATAGGTTATCGTTTCTATGGTGAGGGAACGACTGTTTATAGCTGCTATAATAAACAGGAACTAAATGGTTTTACAACATTTCACAATGGATTAAAAGTATGATATGTTATTCTTTAATAAAAATAAATTACTGTGGTATAAAAGGAATAAAACACTTTGGGTCCCTGGAGGAATAGTGGTTAGGCCGCATCACTCTCACTGCAGTGGCCCAGGTTCGATTCCCAGCCAGGGAACCAACAGCAGCCACTGGGGTTTTGTGCAACAGTGCGCTCGCAGTGCCGGTCCCAAGCCCAGATGAAATTGGGGAGGGTTGCATCAGGAAGGGCATCTGGTGTAAAAACTGTGCCAAATCAAATATGCGGACCCATGATCCTCTGTGGCAACCCCTAAGGGGAGCAGCCGAAAAAAGAACAACAACAAGAAGAGGAATAAAACACTTTGAAGACATGCTGTTATAGGAAAATAATCAACTTTGCAGTGGTAACTATAACGCTGCTTCATCACATCACCTTATTGTTGATTATGTTACTATAACAGCATGACACAGAGTGTTTTATTCCTTGTCTGTTGCATGTTAATGTTCAATACACCAATGAGATTTTCAGATTGTCATGTTATAAGCAGACAGTTAACACTGCTGCACTGAAATTAATTTCCCTGAAAGGATTTAATCAAAACATTTTATCATGTTTTTGGTGAGTTTATTTGGTGTGATGATTCTAAACAAGTCTTGGTGTTTAAAATGAATTATGGTGGGTTGTTTTTTTCTGTTTTTATGACTCCCTCATGCTTTAACAATATGCAAATATCACACTGTGTTGAGTGCATGTCTTATGTAATATACTACCTGCCGGTGTAATTACTCACATCCTCATCACTGGGACATATGACACACAACACATCAAGTTTTTTCACACAATTTACATGCATGTCACATATGGAATGACTTAGTAATTTATGCTCCCTTTTAGCACCCATTCTACAAATGCAATCCTGAAATGGTTTCTCGCCCTCTCTCCAACTCTACTGCACTTTCACCGCTCCAGCTGAGAATTTATTTCATCATGGAGATGGAGGGTGTGCGATTATCGACCTCATGACCTGCTGCTCATTAGGTCATCACAGAAAAAGCATGCAGGAGGTGGTTATGTCATGTTAAAAGGGTAAAACAGTAAATCAGATGTGACAAAAATAAAATGCTGTGACCTTATGGCTTTTTGATGGAATTTACATTATTCGTTTTTCTGCATGAGCTCTAAGTTGTGCCTTTTTTGTATTTAACATGCAACAGGGACTGTCTAGACATCTTTTAGTTTATACATGGAAAAATATTGGCATGTCATTGAGTCAATATATTGAAATGAATCATTTATTATATCAAACATACTTTCTTTTATCCACTTGTTTAATTTTACAAGTTTTTGTTAGCCAGCTAACATTCATTTGCCAGCCTGACATGATTTCTAAGTTATATTCATAACCATTCATGCTCCTCAGTGCTAATACTAGCTAGCTGGATAACATAAGCTAATAGGATAACATAAGCTTGATAGGATATCTGAAAAAAATTACTTCTGAATACAAATCAAAAGCTTCTTTTGAGTGCCAGGTACTTAGGCATGTTTGGGCTTCCTTTAGGGCTCAAACCACTTAAAGACACGCCCATCAGGTCTGAAGTCTTAATTTTTTTATTATTATTTGTTTTCTGAGAAACCTGTGAATAAATATCTTATTCATAAATGTCATTTGCTGTTAAGTTTTGTATGCATGAATGGATATAGTTCCTAATGTTTAGAAAATGTCCATGATGAATCTGTCCTCTACTGTCTATCCAGCAAGTTATGTCCTTATTTCATTTTCATTTCCTTTAAACCATATTGCAAAATGGACTACAAGTGCAAGAATATAAATTGGATGTCTGTGGACCTCATGTTCACATATAACATGTCATATATTCAGCATATTCATTTTTATGACTTTCAGTCACAAAAAAAGCAAAACCTATAGTGACTGCCAGCTGTAATGTTCTGAGTGAAGCATGGGTCTGGTATTGTGTGCTCATTATTTTGTGCTACTAAAAAAATGCAGAGCCCTGGGAATGTATGGCCTTGGTACTATAGATCCTTGGGAACACAAATCCCAGGAACAGATGCATTTGGAACACAAGCCTTGCGAACATAGAGCCCTGGGAACAGAGGCACTGGGAATATAGCATCTTGGGAACATAGAGAGCTGGCAACACAGGCATTGAGAATATAGTGCCTTGGGAATGTAGATCCTTGGGAACATAGATGCCTAAGAATATGGACATTGGAGATATAGAGCCTTGAGAACACAGAGCCTTGGGAATACAGGCATTGGTGATATTGAGCCTTGGAAGAATTGATCTCTGGGAATACAGCCATTGGGAATATAGAGCAATTCAGAAGGTAGAGCCCTGGGAAGACTGCCATTGGAGATATAGAGCCTTGACAAGCTAAAGCCCTGGGAATATAGGCATTGAGAATATAAAGCCTTGTGAATATAGAGCCCTGGGAACACTGGCATTGGGAATATAGGGTCTTGGGAACATGAAGCCCTGGGAATATAGGGGCTTGGGAACATAGAGCCCTGGGATTACAGTCACTGGGAATAGAGGCTTAGGAACATAGAAGCCTGGGAATATAGGTCCTTGGGAACATAAACCCCTGAGAACACAGGCATTGGGAATATCGAGTCTTGGGAACATAGAGCGCTGGCAATATAGGGACTTGGGGAACATGGGAATTTTGGAATATAGAGCCTTAATATAGAGCAATGTGAATATAGATAAGCTCATCTAGTTTTAGCCAGTTTACCAGGTTTACAAGTTCACTAACATAAGGCAACCTACAGAGTTCTCGAGATGTGACTCACTTTGGAACGGACCAATTTAGACTCAAGAAGGGGAAGGTGCATTCTGGTGACTGTGCCCCCCTCACTTCAAATGCACATGCTGCCCATCACATACTGAATATTTGTACTGTTACTGTGATTGGAACCTTCCAATGTGAGTCACCTTCACTAAATTTAGGATCCGTCCATGAGAGAACCTGCTGTTTCCTGACACCAGAGAAAGGGCAGAGAGTGACATGGGGAGAGGAGCTCTTTGTAATAACACTTGGTTTATATGCAGCCTCTGTGTTAAGGCCTTGTCAATTAGAGAGAAAACAGACACCAAAACAGAAAGACAGGAAAATGCAATAAGATAAATGGATTATACAGAGGAGACAGATTTAGCAAGAGCTTAGTGCACTGCGTGCGTGTGTGTTCTTTGAGCCCTTTTTTGTAGATAACAGCTCATAAAACTTTTAAATCTCTAATGGCCCAAATCACACTGTCTCCAAGTGAGATGTATTGTTCCCTGTTTGCTCTGTGTTCCTCATTTGTGAGACTTTCAATCTAACACTGGATTACAAAACACCGGCAAAACCCAGGAGACCAACACTGTGCACAAATAATTAAACACATCATCTTTACACTGCAGCAGCTTTCAGACAAACCTTTTAGAGAGGGCCAAAGTGAGTATTGCTGCTGTTTACTTGCCCTCTTATTCAACAGATATCAATTTTTTAAATCACTACAATTTATTTAACAATATAGAGCTTTGGAACATAAGGCAGTGGGAATATAGGATACTGGAAATATAGGGTCCTGGGAAAATAGGAACTTGGGAATAATTCTGACTCTAACCTGCTCCTAAGTGTAAATGTGTCCCATCCAGGGTGCATTCCTGCCTTGCACCCAGTACTCCCAGGAAAGGCTTCGGATCCACTGTAAACCCTGTGCGGGATAAAGGGCTTACTGAAGATGAATAAATGAATGTTGTATTTAGGGTCATTAGTCGGGTTTTCAGAAAAGATTGGAATTTAAATTTTTCTGATTTCTGGATACAACACAAACATGGATATCAGACAGAAAGGTACTTACAAAGAAAAAGAGCTGGAGAGACAAATGGACGGAGATAGTGAGACACAAAGAGACACAGATGAGACAGAGAGATAGACACATCCATTGTAAGAGAAGATGGGAGCCAAGGGACAGGTGGAAAGACAGCTGGAGAGAGAGTGAGACAGACAGAGAGACAGAATGATAGGAAAGAGACAGGGAGAAAAGAGACAGAGATGAAAAAAGAGAGACAGGGTGCATGAGAAAAGAGATATGGAGAGACAAATGGAGGAAGATAGTGAGACAAAAGGAGGGACAGAAGAGAACAGACAGACAGATAAAGAAAGCGAGAAGAGAATATAGGGAAGGTTGGAGCAGACAGAGCCACACGCACACACATATCAATAGTCTGTGTGTGTGTGTGTGTGTGTGTGGATGCGAGGCAGCAGCTCTGATTAGGATGCGACTGGTGCAACATTGTACAGTGCTTCTATTTACCTCATCCCTGTCTTTCTCTCAACCTGTCTTTCTCTCTGTCACTCGCTGACTCTCTTTCTCTTTATTTATACTGCACTCTTCTCCTACACAAGGTCACTTAAAAGATCAACACAAACACAAAAAGCACAAACAAGACACACTAAATTGTCCGTGGAGACTCCTGAAGCTGTAGCTGTTCTCACATCTTTAATTAGAGCAGGACTGGGTTTTAAGTTTCACATGAATCCTCGGTTTGTTTTGGTTATTATAATTTTTCCCCCAGGTTGTGCTTGTGTGCTTTGGGCTGTGATTTCTAGTCAGCATAGTAGTGTACTGCATAGTGTGTGCTATTTAATAGGATCTATAAAACACTGATACAGGTGATTCAGCCTAAATGTATTGTTCATGAAAAAGTTATTCTACATTAAATAAATTATCCTGCTGGCATCACTGTTTTGTATTATTAATAAGCTACAAATAAACTGTCTAAATCTCTCAGCCTATTTTTCACTGGTTTGTTGTTATTCAACACGTGATTGTATAACCAGACTCAACCTTTGACCAAAGTGGAACATCAGAGTGAACCACCTAACAAACTGCAGAACCAGGCTCAACTATCAACCAAAGTAGAGAACTGGAGTGAACCATTCATCAATATGTAGAACTGGATTCAAACACCAACCAGAATGGTGAACCACTGACCGAATTCCAGAACTGGACTCATCCACTAACCAAAGTGGGGAACTGAAGCAAACCACTGAGCAAACTGCAGAACCAGACTCATCAACTGACCAAAGTGGAAAACTAAAGTGAAACACCAACCAAAATGTAGAACCAGACTCAAACATCC